TACAACTTTTTTTTCTTATAAATTCGTCCCTATTAGAAAAAGTTAAATCAATACAGCTACTACTGTTTTCTGTTACACATGTCGGTGCTTTTATATACAGTATTGGTTTAAATGGAAAGTTTGGTAGAGAGTTTTAACGTTCTGAGAGTGCTGTTTATCGAAAGTATTCCAGTTTAAATCACCAACAACAATAATTCTGTTATACTATCTAGGATAAAAGATATTTGGCCATGCAATACACCAACAAATTCAGCAGACGAACTTGGTGGTACATAAACATTACCTATAACAAATGGTTTAGTGTTAACTGGCTCAATTTTTATCCAGATCGATTCAAATACATTTTCACCAATAGCAATGGTATTAAAATCAACATTTTCATTTACATAAATAGCCACTCTACCACCATGTCTATTTCTGTCTGTTCTAACTAGAAGGTACCCCGGAATTGCAAGTTCACTGCTATGTATATCTTGATTTAGCCAGGTCTCACTTATACCCAGCACATGGAAATTCCGAATATGATCAACTTTATGGTAGACTTAAGACGTTTAAACAACCTATTTTAAAGCCCTTTGTACAATCAATCTCACATAATTTGCATAATATGCCTGGAACGGTTTCTGAATCAGGACAAACAATGGAGTCGTTACGTAATTCATTACTGCCTACATGGTGATCAAAATGGCTGCCTACACTATTATCATTTAATGAGTGAATTGATTCGAATGGTTTATTGCATGCACTACAATTAGGTTCAGAAATCATCTTACCTTAGTAAAACAAAAACAGAAATAACACAATATTAAAAGTTAAAATGTTCCTCGTTTCACATTACTTCTTTGATTTAGGTAATTTCCTAAGATCGGGGGTTCTGGTCAAAATTACCCTCTCGTTATTGCCAGCGATTACGGTATGTATGCGGCTATCTTGAGTCTATACTGCAGATATCACTGACGCATAGTTTTGTTAAACAGTTCGTAATAAACTTGATATTTTACTGGTAAGGTTTTCATGAATGTAAATACTGCTCCCTTTTAGTTTCTTCTTCGTTCTATATACTTCATTTCTAACATTTTACGAACTAAACTTCACTATTATTCCTCTTGCTCTTCCATTTTTCTGAACTTTAGGACCCAGCCTATGACTCCTGTCTATACATATTTCATCCACTGCTACGCTTAGCTTTCTTTTAAACAAATCCACAACAATTTCGTCTGTTTTCTCACCTTGTTTCTCTTCTATTCCATGGATAATCGAACAGTTTCTCCTTGAATATTGCTCTGCTTCATCCAGCTTATATTTTATGTCTTCTACTTGTTGTTCGACCTTACTAATATGATCTCTAGTATTATCAAGCTCAAAACGAGTTGCGTCAATTGTTGCATCTTTGTGTAATGCTTTCAACCATTTGGTCTTTAACAATGATCGCAAGTTTCTCGGCTAGGTCGTTAAATATACTCCCATCCCCTTTGATTATATTGGAAATTTCATTTTGGACAGTAGCGGTAATTGATTCCACTTCAATGCTGTGTGCTTGGTGGGTTTTTGAATCAGCACACTTATTCCCGCTGTCCTTTTTCCACCCTTCCGAGTATTTTTACTGTCCATGATCTAGATCAGTTTCACAATTCACGGAACGCTGTGCAAACACGTCCGTTTACGTCCGTGTCCAGTTGCAAATATTTGTACTTAAACTCAGTGCACATTTTAATGGTATAATAACAACGCTTGTATAAAATCACTAATATAAAAGCAGCACCGGTGTTGGAAAAGACAGGAACATACCACCATACAATACGTTCTGCATGATAAGAAAGCGAGCCTATTATTGCATACACACTACCTACAGGGTGGTGAATACACGAATTAGTATAGTGCCATCTTATTACAAAGTTATCAATTTGTATGTTACTGAAAAAAATGAATTAATTATTTATTGTCATTTTGAGAGGACAATATATCTTTAAACATTTTGGACGTTTACCAACGATCTTTGAATCAGAATAATACGCCATAACAATTATAGGTTTCTCAAAGAAAAGTTTAATAAAAACACTGATCATGCTTTTTTATACAAGGGTTTTAATATTCAATTCAATCGCATACATATATCACAACCATTCAAGTTAATTACATATGATTGAAATCACCTTTTGTCAGTCAGTGCCTTTGCATCTGGATGATACTTTCTGTAAAATAAAAGTATACGTTGAATAACAATACATATCACCAGCCCCAAGATCCATACTGACAGTGGATCAAAATGTAGCAGGTACCTTACTAGTACAAGAAAAATACATCTTAGGGTTGAAAAAATTGCAACAGAATTTCCGTTTCCACAGTGCATTTTCCTAATGTATCTGTATGAACATACTAAAAGTCTAGAAAAATCCACATAGGGGAAGTGCGTTTCTTTCAAAATGGCCACCAAAAATGGCTAGTTTTAACCAAAAATTGAAAAAAAACTTGGATCTATTCAACATATTTCAGCATATTTTTTGTTTCTAAAATATATTTACAAATCCTAAAATTGTTCTGATGCATACAGGTTGGCTGCCACAAATACGACGACATATTTAGTGGTGTATGCATAATACGCCAGGCAGCTATAGTGCCATATGGATGTTTTGGACAAAAGCACCAACTTTTTACATGCTCCTTATGGTCACAGCATTCAATTTTTGATAGAAACCATTTTATCGGAGGTCATTATGGCAGCCATCTTAGATTTAAAAATGGCCACCTTATAAAACCTATGTATCTTCATGGTATTATCTCCTCTTCTAACTTGGAATTATAATTCTAGTGTCTAAATGGTTAAGGAATACTAGCATGCAATTTTTGATCTGGTAAGATTGTTCATTTAAGGTAATTATAATTTAAGTCATTAAATGAATAATCTGAGCAGATTTTTTATTTAAGGTAATTGATTTAAGGTCATTCCAGGTCAAATATTTTATGGCATCTTAATAATTACCTTTCACGTTTTACATCTGAATCATACCAGGGAGTTGTTATAGTATAACTCCCTGATCGGAATTAATTTTTTTTACAAGAAACTACATTACTTCATTCAAGGTCATTTTGGCAGCCATCTTTAATTTCAAAATGGCTGCCATGCAAAAACTATTTTATTAATATCTTAGCTTTAAATCACTTTAAATTATAATTTTTATGTTTAAAACTATGTTTTTATGGTCAAGAAAATATACCATTTGTGACACAGTCAGATGGTCATTAGGATAATATGTATGTCAGTTAAGGTCATTTAAGGTGATTTTGTGTTAAATACCATATCAAAGTTCGTTGTGATGTCCATTTTAGGTCAAGGTGATTTTGCAGCCAAATTATAGATGGCCATAAAACATATATGTTTACTTTACATAATCAAATATTGACTTTACCAGTTGTGACAATGTCAGATGATTATTATAGTCATAAATAGGTTAATGTCATTCATTTCAGCTCAAATATTGTATGACATGTTAATAATCAACCTTTTCGAGTTTTAATAAAACAACTGACCAATCAGAAGAGTAGACAATGTACGCGGAATAAAACAAAACAATCTTTTCCATCAGTGGGCAAGATTCTAATAACAGTCCTATTACTGTTATGATTGCTTTTTCAGCTAGCAGGCCTATATAAGATATTTTTTTTAAATATTTTCCTATATAATAATAGTGTGCTTACGGTAGTCGGTATAATTCACCAAGCAACAAAGCCAAGGAAAGAATGCAATATTTTTGCCTTATACATAATTGAATGACCTTAAATGACTTATTTATAACTATAATCTCCTGACCATGTCAGAAATTATACAATGGTATTGTTTACTATGTACAGTACACATAAAACATAAACATTCTTAACATTAATATAGGCTTTACATGGTGGTTATCTATCAATTCAAAAAGGCTGCTAAATGACATTATTGATCTAATGAAATCGAATGATTTTAAAATGGCTGTCATAATGACTTCTTATTAAAATAATCGAATTCTTTGAGCTTATATATAATATTTACATTAAAAAAATGACTGCTACCGAGAGGATATCACAAAATATTAAACATAAAATGACCTTAATTGACCAATTTTTGACCATAATATCTATCTTAACATGTCACAAATGTTGTAAATCTTTGATCATGAAAACATAATTTTAGGCATCAGGCTTCAAATTTGAATTGTTTTAAAAGCTGAGATATTAACATTTTTTATCCATGGCGGGCATTTTGAAATCCAAGATGGCCGCCAAAATGACCTTGAATAAAATATTGTAGTTCCTATCAAAAAACTTAATTTTAAGAGGTTGAGTATGTTTCTGATGTAAAACATGACAGTTACAGGCCTCCGTGTTTATTAAGATGCCATACAATATTTTAACTGTAATGACCTTGAATGACCTTAAATGACCCTGAATAACCTATTTATGGCAATCTGACGCTGTCAAAAATTGTATGATATTATTTCTTGACCATAAAACATATTTTTGGACATTAGAATTATACTTTGAATTTGTTTAGAAGCGGAGATATAGATAAATATATGTTTTATATGGTGGCCATTTTAAAATCCAAGATATCTATTTATAAGATATTAGCATTATTCTATAAAGCAATACATGCATTGGTTGCTAATTATTAAAAACCTTAGTGGCGATCTAAAAAATTACAAGTTTATTCATAAATACAACATATTATGATGACATTACGATTTTTTTTTCTCATATTTTTATCTATTTTGTCGGCCATTTTGAATAAAACGCATTTCCACATATTTTCCCTACCTGGATTTTTCTAGACTTTTAATATGTTCAAATAGGGACCTTATAGAAATGCACTGTGGTAAAATAAATTCTGTTGCAATTTTTTCAACCTTTCACTAAATTTTACGCTAACTTTCTTGTATACTTGCTTTTTTCTATACAATCTAATAAATCATTCGATGATTAACAATGTAGCTTTTAAATTGTTGATAAAATCCAATTTACAGGCTATAGGCATGTAAGATTGCGTACTTCACAGAATCTTCCTTTGGAACTATCAATGCTCTTCATTCACTCACAACTACAAGAGGAAAATCAAGAAGAGAACAAGGCAAGGGAAGACATGCTGGTTAAGCTTTTGTATTTCTACATTGGATATGACTTTGACGAAAATATGTTATATTATGAGGTATTTGTGAAGTTTTAAATACAATTCTAAATTTTGCTTTCTACATTTCTGTTGGCTAAAATCAATACCCAATAACAAGTTTAAAACTTAAAAGCAACAATGATATATAGGTCTAGGCCTAAACAATAGTATTATAATATGCAAAATAACAAAATGACTGCACACGATGAATCAAGCATAGACTGCTGACAAAAGCGAAATATAATAGAAAGATTAGTGTAATAAGTAATTAGTACTAGTGTTTTTATCCTATGTAATAATTTTAAATGGCATCTTATTGTCAGAAATATGATATTGCTGCCTGGTTTTATAGTGTGGTTTTACAGGCCCTACCAACTGCACAATTATGTTAGTGTTTAAGTTAAGAGCAACTATCCAACAATGTAATCATATGATTTCCTTGCTGTATTTCTAATAACAGATGTTTTCTTCCAGATGAAAAATAATACAGAGGTAGAGCATGAGATGAAGACAATAATGGTACATGGAGTGCTTCCTTCTGAAATCAGTTCTGTTCTCAAGGTTAATGATAAAACAAAAGCCAGTGAAGTCATAGCACAGGTAGTTTTGCATTATAATGTACTCATACATACATAACCAATCTAATAGTTTAGGTGTCTTTTTAATGCGATTGATTGGCTAGTTTAGTGCTGCTTTTTGTTTTCTCGATTTGTAAGTACAGTATAATAATATCTTTCTTTGTGATATTTTACTCAGTTTAGCCATTGGCTACGATGTAAATTTATTTTGTTAAATAAAATCCTAGAGTTGTGAATAATGAAATACTTTTGACGGGATCCGCCACTGTTTAATGTACTTTCGTGGCAAATCATCTATAATAATAATTGTTGGGATATGGACAATTAATAGTACTTAGACACGGGATCTGTGAAAACTTGTCCCAAGGGGTCCGCGAATGCAAAAAATGTTGGGAACCACTGCTATAGTAGACCTCATTATTATGGAGAGTATAGGGTTAAACATCCACAGACTGGAACCCCCTTTTTATCATTAAAAAAAAAAGAAAATCTAAAATCAATAATAATTAGTCTATTATCTACAAAATACTGTGGGCCTTATTTTTTAAGGATGTATTTTCACTCAAGCATACATCTACAGTACCAACATAAAAACTTAAAATTGTACGAAATGAAATTTGTTGAACTTGACGTAAAGTATACAAGTATAAGACTGCACATATATATTACAATATAAACCTACACACCAACATATGCAATAGTAGTAGTAGCAGTAGCAGTAGCAGTACTGTAGTAGTTTGTTATTTATACATTCGTACATATAATGGTAAATAAATTTGTTTCATTGCAAATGTTTTGTAGTCTTTAGCATTGCATTAATAGTATATAAAAGAAAGTAACATGTTGTTTATTAACATTTATCAGGCAATGGGAAGGATAAAACATACCATAGATGACATAACCAAGTACAGCCTTGTTGAACAAATTCTAATACAAGATACATCATCATCTGGCATTCAGGAAGCTAATGCTATTACTAAAATGACTGCACATATATATCACAATATAAACCTACACACCAACATATGCAATAGTAGTAGTAGCAGTAGCAGTAGCAGTACTGTAGTAGTTTGTTATTTATACATTCGTACATATAATGGTAAATAAATTTGTTTCATTGCAAATGTTTTGTAGTCTTTAGCATTGCATTAATAGTATATAAAAGAAAGTAACATGTTGTTTATTAACATTTATCAGGCAATGGGAAGGATAAAACATACCATAGATGACATAACCAAGTACAGCCTTGTTGAACAAATTCTAATACAAGATACATCATCATCTGGCATTCAGGAAGCTAATGCTATTACTAAAATGACGTCTAACTTAATAAACGGAAAAAATGATGATCCTCTGGCTTCAGAAGAAGATATAGAAAGGATTGTCAAAGATGTTTTGGACAACATGCTGGCAAAGATGTCTGAAGATGTAGAGTTGATAAATGAAGTTATACATGAATCTTGCAGTAGTAGCAGCTACCTGTACATTCAAAATATACTTGAAATGGTTCTTGATGATGTGTCTGTTGTTTCTCAACGATCTCCTGGTATCAAAGGAGTTAAAGAAACGGATTCAAAAGAGGAATTAGTACTATCTATACTAGCAGAAATCTGTGAAAATATAACCGATGATAAAGACATAATTGTGTCAAACATAATAAATGACATGGTTGATTTAGTGCATCATTCATGTAGATCCAATTCAGATTTTTCTTTGCAAAATGCATATGGTAATGTAAATGATTACGACAACGTAACAAGTATTACTTCAGAAAATGAGAACTTGTGTGAGAAAAGCACTAGTAGTGCATTTGCAGATAGTCACTCAGACCATCTTGATTCATCTAAATCAGTTTCTAATGGATTTGAAACTGCCCCTGCAGGCGACACTTTCGAAGGTATTAAAGGACGAGAAATAGATAGTAAGCTCACTATTTCAGGTAAAATGGTTGAAGACCCACTACAGAAGGGATTGAATAAAGGTGAAGATAATATGAATAGCATGAAAGATTCTGTTCAAACAATCCATGATACTGATAATCCTGATGTTTGTAATATATTAAATATCTGTTGTGATGAAGAAAACCTAGTTACTGAGCCAATTGTTATAAATTCAGTTCAGGAACAACACATCGAAATTATAGATCCTAAAAACTCAAGCAGTGACAGAACTAACAAAATAAATGAAACTGAAATGTCAGTTGATGATATCATTAAAGACATTTTTGAGGACATCATCAATAAAATCGTGATAGCGACTGAACTATGTTATACTAATGATATAAATGAGAGTTCAATTAAGGCAGATATCATGAAACCTGAAATGGAAGACCAAAACAGCACAGGAGAAAAATATTCGGAGAATCTGCAATATTTTGATAATTGTAATTTAAATAAATGTCCGCATATGAACCAGGATACGTTTCCAAATACTACAGACCATGCGAGGTTGCCTTATTCCAATCTCCGTAGAGGAGAAATTATTGATGCGGACCAACATAATGAGTCTATGAATTTAAAAATGGAACAAAAATTGGATGTTGAAAACACTGTAATTTCTGAAAGGAAACTTGATCCAGATGTGAAAATACTCGACATCATTAAGAATTGGGAAGGTGGAGAGAGACTACTTCTAAAGTACCAAGGACAGGTATGTTATCAATCTCATAATATTTCTTGAAGATTGGCATGAAAACAATAAATAATACACTGGCACATCCTAAGTTTTTAGGTGTTCATAAAGATTATTTTTCTCCACTGCACTTCTGCCTTCTAACATCCTCAGTTCATTCTTTATTTTATTACTGTTTTATACTGCTCACATGGCTCTGATGCTTATGGCTGAGTTCAAAATAAGGCTTGGGAGTGGGATTCTTTTAAGTCTAAACAATTCTAAGTTATCTTTTCCATCTCTCGCTCTCTTCCCTCTATCTCTCTCATTACTACTGTATTTTTCACTATTTATCACTAAACCACTATCGTTAAAAAGTGGTTTCTTTAAATATGATGTGTACTTTATTTGTTTTTAGGTACAACTTCCAAATGAGCAAAACAGAGTAGCTATCATTGATGATAGTGTTGATACTTTCCTGGCTTGGGTATTCAACATTTCAAAAGAGAAGCCTTACACAGTTTTTGAAGCTAATGTGAAAAGCCAAGCAATTCATATTATAGCACAGGTACGGAAATATTTATAAATGACTTCGTAAAGTGTTCTTGTTATTATCATTTTTAATTTGTTTGCAGACGACTTGAACATAAACCCAATTGTTTTTGTAATACCAGGGAACAGTGGAATTACACTGAATTTCACTGTTCCCTGGTAATACCGTCAATAATAACTCAATGTAAGACTCTCTGAATTACATTAATTGTTATTTGTTATAACAGTTGTATTATTAGAGTTGTATCTACTATTAAGTTCTAGGCGTACACGTAAACGAGAGATTAGCATGGAAAATTCACACCGAAAATTTACACCGTAAAACCTATAGAAGCCACTTGGGCCTAATCTAAAAAAAAAGCCTATCTCGTAAGGAAGCCCATCGGCTTCTAACCACTGTAGTATTGGTTTCTTTTTCAATTTAAATGTATATCAAAGAAACAAAAATAAACAATAACAACTTCTTGGTCTATAGTTTATAATTGTACCATATACTATGTGATGTAGACTGATCTTCTCTTAGATGATAATATGACAGCATGTTGGTATCAATGTTATTTATTATAGCCCGCACGATTTGTAGACGCCTTTTAATAAACAAAGTTGCCTATGTTGAAACTAACTTCGGCTATTTGCTTCCGATGTCCCCAGTGGGGGGCCGACTCCCCGACAAGAGCGTAAGTGGGTGTGGTCGGGCGTGAAGTGTTCTAGGGCCCATGGACACTATGACAATTTAGGAGTTATTTAATTGATTTTAGAGTCTACTGACTTGTCCCATCCCCGGCACCACCGGCCTCCCCACTGCTGCCATTTTTGATTCGAAGTTTTACTGTGTAAAACTATTGCAAGAAAATTTGATACTATAAACAAGCTGAAAACATTTGTACCATGCTATATAGGATTGATAAGATTCATTTATTTTACCATATTTAAATCATTGTCTTCCTTCATGGATGAGGTATCTTAACAATGTTAGATTTAATAGATACTATATTCTTTCTGTAGGCACTGGCAAAAGCCCATCGAATAGACAGAAATTTGAGCCGCTATGTTCTAGTACAAGAAATTTTCAAGGATCTCACTAAGAAAAATAGTGAAGAAAATGCCATAGTATCAATCGTGGAGGATGATGAAAATGTCTTTCAACTTCAAAATCTATGGAAGACACCTGGAAGACTAACAATAAAAGAAAGAAATGAGGTATAATTATTATAATCTTTTCAATTATCTTGAAAAAAATTTGAACAGATTTAATTACATTCGCACATATAAACATTTTCAATTTCAAAAAGAGTAATCCCTTACGTCAAAGTGCCTATCGGGCTTTGTGTAAAGAAAAAAGTATATATGGTTTTTTTTTTAAATAAAAATGATTAAAAAACATCTTACGTCAATACTAAACATATTAATATTTTATGTAGACACATCCACAGTATTTCTATTCATATGTTTCGTAAAGCTATGTTGTCTCAAATTTTTGTTTCCAGGTATTTACTAACACACTTCGCAAAAGTATGAAGAAAAAAACACCAAAAGGTACACCAATTATGCCAAGACGACGTTCAGGTATACTATTTTTAATTCATCATTTATTTTGAAAATACATATCTCAATTAATTTATAACCATATTAATATAACTGAGATTTTGGGAATATATTTAAATATTAAACGAAACAAAAAGATCTCGAAGTATTTTTTTATTTAGATACATATGTCATATACTTTACTTCAGTTGATTACCGTATGAGGACACATGTAATAATATTTTACTAATATAAACATTCTTCTCTCATATTCTTAGACTCGGAAGCAAGGAAAGCACAAATATTTAAGAATGGTTTCAAACCTGATGATGTAAAGTCAGGCTTGAAAAAAGTAAAGGCTGAATCGAAACAAGCAAAAAAAGAAGAAAAAAGAAAGAGGAAATTAAAGAACAAAAAAGAAAAACAAGCATTTCAAGAAGCCAAACTAAAGGAAGCTGAGGATTTATTAAATAAGAGAAAGAAAAAGAAAGACAACAAATTTAGAAAAGAAGCAAATGAAGAAAACAAAAATATGAAAGGAAAAATGACGAAAATTAAGTTAACAAAAGGTTTAAAGAAAAAAGAAAAGGAAGCAACTAGTGAAGAATTAAGTTCAACATTTGAAAGTGAAGATGAAGAGCAAACGCATGACAAAGAGAAAATCTATTTAGCCAGAAACATAATTGAAGAAGAGAGTGATGAAGAGAGTGATGAAGGGACTGTTAAAGAAAGTAATAAGGAGAGTGATGAAGAAGAAGATGACTGGTCATCAGATTCTGAAGATCAAAAATCCCAAGAGAGCGATAATATTACCGATGATGAGAATACAGACATCGCCAAAGACAATAACAAACAAATAACAGATGAACAAGGACAGGATGAAATGATACAGAAAATGACAAATGCAGCAGATATAGATATTGACCTACAGATGGTAACAGAATATATTAATCAGATTGTTAATTTTGCTATCGCAGAGTGCAGGAAGATTATTTGTTCTGCAGCAAACAAAAATGAACAATTAATTTCCTTTAATGAGACACCAGATGTGAATGCAATTAATAGGGAAATTGAACCAACATATGTTGATACAAAAGCTGTAAGAGGAAGTGACATCTTGCTGAATATTATTTCAGATTTTGAACAACTTCTTGAGAGTCCTGTGGTTAAATATGGTAATATTTGTCAGAAAGACTCTTTCCAGTCTATGTCAGGAAGTGTTAATGACATTATGTGTATAGAGGAGGACCATAAACAGGAAATAGTTGATGAGAATGACCAGACGGAAAAATCTATGACTAAGTGTAAATTGGATTCTGTACAGACTTCTACCAATTATAGTGGTAAGCAAAGTGCTGTTAATGTAAATTCTGACTGCAACGCTGCACAAGAATTATCATCTATCTATTTGCCCAAAATAAAATATGAAGACCAGAACAGAGAAAATCATTTACCTCAAAATAAGGGACAAGTGGTTATTGCTATCTCAATGGAGAAAAAAATACGTGATGGTGAAATCAGTTCATCACAGAATATATCACAGCTCTCAAAATATACTCACAGAAATAAAGTACCTTCAGAGCAATTAGTGATTGCAGTAACGATGGAGCATTCAACGGCAAACGAATCCTTTAAGAAGACTAGGTATGTAGAACCAGCAATTGTCCAAAAACAATATGAAAGAACAACAAGCAGATCAAAGACATCAAGTCCTCTATCCACCAAGAGGGTGAAAGCAGTTCCAGCATTTAGCGTTCCTCTTGCTAAGTTTGGAGATGATGAGTGCATAATCACCACATTACCTCTTGAAGAAACATCTGTGCACCAACTTTCACATACTCGAAGATCCCAATCAGTAGAAATTTCGCAGAAGTCAATAAACAGCAACGATAGCAATCAGTTATGTGATGAAAATCCGAGGAGAGCACACAGTCTGCGTCAAAGTTACAATGGGGCTGAAGGGAAAAGCAGTTCAAGAGGAAGCACGAAAAAGGAAAGCAGATTTTCCCCAAGGAGAAAAAAATCTTTTTCCCTTACGAAAAGTGACAAGCATTATAAAAATGTTGATGCATGTCATTCTAAAACTTCAGATGATGAGGACTATTTGGAAAGTCCAAAAATGAAGACATTTTTTAGTATATGCAGTGGTAACTAACTTTATAATAATAGAAGTATATTTTGTTCAGGAGATAGCGTATTCAAACTGGTTTTGATTTACTTAATATTAGCTTTCATAGGCATCAGATAAGCATATGAGACTAAATGGAACAAGAGATTATTTTAAAAGCATACATACACAAATAATATTGTAGGGTATGAGCAGTGGCGTAACGATGGGGCCGGGGGCCCTGTGTATTTTTGGAACTGGGGCCCCTTTTGGGTCCCGGACACTAATTCCATCGTGGGATTTTAGATGTTATCGTGTGATTGTTATTCTAAATGTTTTTAACGACGAAAAATTATATAATATGGAGGAACTTTCACAGTTGTAGGGTCTATACCACCTCAGACCCACCATGGTTGGGGCTGAGGTAAAAAAAAACCTATGAATTATGGCACATTTAGAGGGCCGGAAATGGCACTTCACAGACATAAAATTGTGAATATAATTTTCTTTTTATTTCCAGTTAAAACCATTTTTTTGACAAATTTAGTGGGGCTCCGGGCCGGCAGCTCCCCCACCCACCACTCTTTATTCCACCACTGGATATAATATGATATGTCCTACAGTCGATTTCAGACACAAATTATGTTGTTGTCCTTGTGGGGCTGAGATAAGAAAATGTATTATTATGGCACGTCTAGATGGCCGGAAATGGCACTCACAGACTTAAAATTATGAATTTCATTTTTTTAAATCTGCATTTTAAATGTTTTGACAAATTTTGGTGGGGTCCCGGAACGAGAGGGTCCTGTCGGGCTGACGGAGCCCCCTCTCTTTAATCGTTATAATATGAAATATGCCCCACAGTAGATTTCAGAGACACATTATGGTGCTTTTTATCAACAAAGTCCTTTTTGGTCAGGGTGCTATATCGAGGAACTTATGGGTAGGGCCCCTAGAATTCGGGGCCCCTGCGGACCGCCGCATTAGAGCGCATAGGCGTTACGCCACTGGGTATGAGCATATTTGTAATGTTTTTAGTGAGAACATTTACATTCATATTCTCAAAACCACAAGTTGCCCCATCTCTCTTTAAAAGCTACCATACAGGTATTTTCTTATACACAGGATCAACATTATTTGAACTTGGTTTTTTAATGCTATTGTGATGTAAAACTCACTGCAATTTGCTTATTTTACTGTGTAAAACTTCCTTTATCCTCTATTAAAGCTGGGTTTTTTTTCATTTGTTATGTGACAAAACAAAAATTGGCGATATTTTGAATGTTTGTAACAAGATTCTGTGTCTATTGTTGGTTCCCATAAGGGCAGATGGGCAGCATTCAATAAAATTTCTCATTCTGTAGACGAGGAATTTTGTCAAATCAGTCATGTATTTATAATGTGAAAGATAATTCAAGTGATGATTTATTTTTATTTTATTCATTATTATTGTCAATCCTTTGTATATTTTTATGTTTTCGTTTTATTTCGTAAATTTTAGATGGTTTTTAATTTTTTTTTTTTAACTGTAAATATAGGAAACATGCAATTTGACCATTGACCACTAGATTTTGTGATTTGTCAAATTAGTGATTTACCAGCCAAATTGTTTAACAGAGTTGTTAAATAGTCGTGGGATCAAAGGTCTTATTTAAAACAAACTAATTAGATTGCATTTTTTTTTTCATTTATTAATTTAAGCTGTTTGCTTTTAGTTTAGAATTGTTTTTTATGCATGTGTGACTGGCACTTTATGTGTGCTGTCATGGATATAAATATCAATAAGCTATTTATTATTTTACTGATTTATTATTTTACTGAAAAGATTTCGTAGTGAATATAAATAGTTAAAAACCCTGTACACCATGTCAGTAGTGGCGCCAGCATGGGGAGGTGCACAGGGAGGTTTTTGGCCCCTTACCAAAAATAATTTTCCTGTCCAAAAAACGTTATTTTGATTTCTGATCCCTAATATTGTGTCTGAATTTGGCACAATTTGAGCTATACTAAGCCATAATATCTCTCCCTGTAAACCCCACCCAGAATTTTTATTCCGGGGCCATGACCGAGGCTATAGACGGCGAATTGGTCTAGACGCTCCTGTCGGACTTGCTGGGCCTTCTGTCGGCAAAATGCCCACCACTGCACCTTGTGTAAAAAAAACCTTATTGACGTGTCAGTGAGACTACTTTGAGAGACATTAAGAGGATTCTAACTCACCATTAGTTATCTTAAAACGATATTTTGTGATAAAAGTATAGAGCAAAGTCCTGTAAGACACGCCTATTCAGAAAAACCACTATTAAAAGGACACGTTTCCGTAAAATGCAATAATTTTTTTTAATACTACGACCAACTTATTATTTTATATTTATTTTTTTATTTGCAAAAATATCTATTTAGAATAACATATCCTATGTACAACAAACAAAAGACCTTGAAACTAAATACATTGTTTTTCAACAAGGTCCTGACTATTGTGGCATACTCCTACCACGACCGGGAATCTCCATAGCTAGGCTTAGGTAAATGACGACACAAAGAAAACGTGCTACTTTCTCGTCATCCATCTTTCATCCACTAATGCCACCTCAGCCCTTCTATCCACTCCACCCCTCAAGAGGGCGCTGCATCATTTCTACCCGTCACACTATCTACGAACATTTGATTATTATAACTTGACGAAAGAAAAAAAGATAAAAATTTAGAATGATGTACAGGTGCCGTGATGTCGAGAATTAAGAGTTTCAAGTGATATGGTTTAAAAGATCTGTTGTCTATAATTAATTTTGAAAGCATTTGTTGATTGTGATTCTTGTAAATTGGAAGCAAGGGCATTCCAACAACGTGCTCCTGCAAGTTTAAATGATTGTTCCAGTTGCTAAATTATTATTATTATTATTATTATTTTATTTAGCCATCATTTGAAAATGATATCTGGCCATCTCATAGGTGCAATGTCTATTCAATGTTGTGTCTTCTCACCCTATTTACATACCATACCATACTTTACCTATTTCAGTTAAGATTTAAGTTAAGACTATCTCCTTTTAGACGATATCTAAATGTGTGCATCCAATAGTTGTCCCGCCGCAATTGCATTAATACAAACAAACGGTTACTAGTTGCACCAAAATATTCCCCCCCCCCCCAAACTTTTGATTCCTTCTTTGTAACAGACTTCCATTAATTTTGTTTTAATACCCTGTCATTCTTCTAGCTTTTCGTTTTTACGTTTCTTTTCATTTCTTTTCTTTCTTATCTTATTCCTTTCTTTTCCTTTCTTTTCGTTTCCTTTTATTTTCCTTCTTTTCGTTTCCTTTTCTTTCCCTTTCGTTTTCTTTCTAACCTTTCTTTCATTTTCCTTTTATATTCCTTTTCCTTTCTTTTCTTTTTCTTTCTTTTCGTTTCCTTTATATTCTTTTTTTTTTCTTTTTATTTCTTTCTTTTCTTTTCTTTCCTTTTCGTTTTCTTTTTATTCATTCCTTACCATTTTTTTTAATCTATCTTCTCTTTTCCTTTTCCCCCTCTTCCCTTTCTTTTCATTCTATTCATGTCCTTCTTTCTTTTGTTTACCTTTCATTTTCTTTCTTTTTTAATTCTGTTCATGTCCTTCTTTCTTTTGTTTACCTTTCATTATCTTTCTTTTCGATTCACTGATTTTTCATTTCCTTGTTTCTATCATGTTCTTTCTCTTACATACCTTTCTATCCTTTCTTTCTTTTTCTTTCCTTCTTTTCTTTTATTCTTTTTTTTTTTCTTACATTTCTTATCCTTTCGTTTTCATTCTATTTTTATTTTCCTTCTTTCTTTTAATCTTATTTCATTGTTTTACATTCTTGGCTTTTCCTTCTACGGTTGTACTTTCTTTTATAGCCATAGCTTTCATTAGAATGCAAGTATGTGGCGGAATCAAAATAAAATAAATGCACACAGTCAAACACATGTCTTAGGAGACCTAAAATGAGTGTAATTATATAGAGCCTATTAATTTACTATTTTAGTGATAGAAAATTGTTAGGAATATTTAAAGTATTAGTGCTCGAGAATTCTGGCCATGTACATCATACTAAATCAAGTCATTTGAAAGACGAGCTGAGGCTAAACCATGTATGCAATTACCAGATCATAATCATTTATCACTTGCAGTTCTATCCTATGTAGCCACTTCCCGGCGTTATCTTGAAGGAGGTTCTTAAGTCCTACAAATGTTCGTTGGTTGTCCCAGTTGCATGCATCAATCCATTCATCCACGTTGGCCAGTTTAACTCATTTAAAAGTACGTCCCCTCTAAATTTTTATAATCAAATTTTCTCGCGACTGTTCTACCACATCGTTTCTGAAGTCTATTTACAAGCTTTCCGTTTCTGGCAGAAGTATTACCCCAGACAAAGATACCATAGTCAAAACAGGGAAGTATTGTAGTTTTGTAAAGAGATTCTAACAGTCGACTATTTAAGATATTTTTTAGGTGACCAAGATATGCAACTTTAAAACCAATAGACTTACTTAAGCTAGTACAGTGTTCATTCCAAGATAAGGTATTGTTGAATAGGACTCCGTGATACCTAAATGATCTAACTTGATGCAGGCTTTTACCTTTATATGAATGTCAAGTTTATCCTCTTGATTTTGTTTAACATGCTTTTACTCCTTTCAGCCTTGATAGTCAGCTGGTTTTCTTAATACTACCTAATAGTATTATTCATATTTTCTTGTAAATTAGCAATAATAGAATCAAGATATTTACTCGAAGAATAAAATATATCATCAACAAATACGCTGCAGGTACCTAATACCATCGTCTGAGAAATACCATTAATAAATAAAATAAAGAGTAGTGGCCCCAGTAGGCCTATACTTTTTGGGGTACTCCTATATTAATTTTATTAAATTTTGATTTTTCATTATTACAATATACAAGTTGCTTTCGATTGGATAAGTAACTTTCGAACCGTTTATTTTCTTGTTATTGAAATGCTAAATGTTTTTTGTGATTTATGGTGTCGAAGCATTATATAGACATCTATGAAACATGCTCTAACACTTTCACCATCATTCAGTGCTGTATATATTGTTGATTGTTTGATTTCATGTCATAAAATGTTATTGTATTTGCATTACAAATTTATTTTACAGTAATTTTAAAATTTTATTCTCACACTTATGTGATGTATAATTTAAAAAAATTTATAGAATCTATGTCATCATTTTATGACTAAATGTAGAAAAAAATCATGTTTTTGGTGAGTGTGCCTCTATCTAGGGGACACCCTACATTTTTGGTCCCGAAAATGCCCCTTTAATAGTGGTTCAACGGTATTAGGTTTTGTAGACTGAAGTTTAAAGCAAGGCTTGATCCGGAGGGGAAAATTGACACTAAGACACCAAAGGGGTGTTTGATGAAAACCTGGGAAAATTAGTAAGATACATATTTCTGGAGGAAAACAATTTTCTCCCATGTCATAAAAAATGTATTTCATAATTCCATTTCCAAAAAATTAATTTCATAATTCAAAAATCCCTTTATTGTTTTAGTTAGAATATTCATATTGTACGTTTTTTTCGTTTCGTAAACCAACCATTTATCACTAGTTACTTTAGTTTTCTATTTGCGAACCTTATATATACAGAGCTTTATGAATAAAAAATTATTATTTTAATTTTATCTGGCGAACCCTATAAATAGCGATACTTATAATGACAAGTTGGTTAACGCAGAAGATTTTACTAAAGCTGCAAACATTTATGAGCACTTTTTGTTGAAACGATTACAGCAGTGATGGTTGTAAAATCAGATTACCAAGAGTAAATTACCTCTTTATAAGCGATGAATGGTGCTTAGTTTTTTTAAATTCTTTCAGCTGAAATTTTTCATTAACATTGAGTAGTTTTTGTCATGATCTATTCTATTGAATTTATGGTGCAGCTAGGCACCTTCTCCCTAACATCTGGAGAAGAAAATATAAATGTATGCCGAAGACATATGCTGGCCAGAAGTTATTTTTAAAAATTGTAGGCCTACTATAGATCAGCCATTAAACAATTTATGAACACTTTTTGTTGAAGTTATGTCAGAGATGGCTATAAGGTCTAGTAATCTAGTGCAAACCTCATTATGAGAGAGGAATTAATGCATTTGTTTGGTTCCAGCTCATTTGTTTCTTATAAACAACTAGGCATTTCATAAATACGACTGTGTGCTTTTGTCAGACATGTCTGGAGAATATGATTTTTACTATGAGTGATTATATTGTACATTGGCTTAAGACCTTTTTTACATTTGAACAGGAGCAAGATAAAATCTTAATTAGCCGATTATTTAAAATAAAGGATACAGCATTCAAAAAGATCTAAATAGAGAATAAAAAT